TCTTCATACTTCTATTTGTTGATTATGAATTATTTGAGTGATTTGTTTTCCATTAGTATGAGTAGCTAAACCTATTATCTAGGGTTGATGAAACCAATTGTTGGATTTAGTCTTGACTCTATTTTGTTATAATTGAGCCGTGTTTGCTCTATGATTGTTCAATTACGTATTGTATTGTGATTAATTGAAAGGGCCCTCGATTAATCGTGTCTATTCAACTTGTGTTTCTTGAGAAAGAACACTTGGTTAGATTGTTATTGAACAACACCACTTTTGGGAAAGTTAAGAGATTAATTACTTGAATTTAAAAGTGGGGTTAGAAATAACGAAGCTTTGGTGGGATAATTCTGAGTTGCATCAATTGTTAACTAGAGTAGTTCGAGAGAATGCTTCTAGTAAATTATCGTAATTGATCGAAAGGTAATTACGGTAGCCCGGAACTTATAATCCTCATAGAGTATTACAGCGAGATTATAGCTAAAGAGTTAAGAATTAATCCGTCAATTGAGAAAATCAATAGCCCTAGATCCTTTTACCCTTGAATTCAATTTTAGTCTTGATTATTGCTAATTTTATTGTCATTTTTCCTTAGCTAAATAAATTTTACTGATTATTCATAAAACTCTTGCATCCGGAAGTTGTCTGAGCTTATCATTAGCATTATTTAAAGTTGTAGTGAATAGGTTAGTTCCCTGTGGGATTCGACTTCGGAATTGAACCGGGTTATATTTGCAGCGACCGCTTAGTCCTTTTTACAAGGCATAGTTGGGCACGATCAATGATGTTTTACAGTGGTGAGCTGTTGTGACGCTTTATTTTTTACTATTGTTTAGTTTTTTTTTTTTTTTTTTTTTTCATAATTGAAAAATGGGCTCGTTAGATTTATTGTTGTTTTGACAAATTGATGATTAGGATTTGTTCTTGATGATATTTGGAGGTTATGTTTCAAATTTGAGCTCATTTGGAGTAGATTTAGGAAACAACCTCTCTACTCCCTCGGGGTAGGGGTAAGGTCTACGTACACACTACCCTCCCCAAACCCCACTAGTGGAATTTTATTGGGTCGTTGTTGTTGCTGTTGCTGGAGTAGATTTAGGTATTAAATCGATATTGGATTGTTAAAATTCAAAGAACAAATTTTTGTTTCTGAGCAATTTGTACTTCATGCCTATTTGATCTTAAGTGCATGAAAACGTTGGTTGCATTTCAGACCTTTTGGCCTTAAGTGCATCAGAAGTACAATTTTTCACTTCAGACTTATTGGCCTTAAGCGTAGAAAAACGTTTGTTGCACTTCAGACCTTTTGGCCTTAGGTGCATCTGAAGTGCGAATTTTCACTTCATACTTGTTGGTAGGGGTGTTCATAAAAACCCGAAAAATCGAACCAAACCGAAAATCAAACCAAACCGACCAAAAAAACCGATATTTTTAGGTTTGGTTTGGTTTTGGTTTTAAATTTTAAAAACCGATCAAATTTGATTTGGTTTTGGTTTTAATAAAAAAAACCGAACCAAACCGACTATAAAAGTAGCTATTTAAATTTATTATTACACTTATATATATGTATATTTTTATATAAAGTTTCTAAAATTTTATGGTACATATTAGTCATTTGTATTTTTAGTCTAGTTTTTTGCTATTATAATAATCTAATTCTTTGCCTTCTAGTTTGATTGGTAGTTTTCTTTTATTAAGTACAAAAATTTATTTCATGTTAAAAATAATCGATTTTTAATTGAGTACTTAAGTTATTCATCACTATTTGAGTCAATTATCATTAATATATCTTGGTAAATGATAGATTTCTCAAAGAGCAATTGGTTTGATAGCGTTACATTGAAAATGTACTCGCCGGAATATGCGTTTGATAGTGTATGTCTCATATTTAAGAAAAAACCGACAAATAACCGAAAAATCGAATCGATAAAAAACCGACTTAATTGGTTTGGTTTGGTTCCAATATGTGAAAAACCGACTTACTTGGTTTGGTTTCTTTTTCGGAAAAAACCGACCCAAACCGAACCATGAACACCCCTACTTGTTGGCCTTAAGTGCATGAAACCATTGGTTGCATTTCAGACCTATTTGGCCTAAAGTGCATCTGAAGTACAATTCTTTCACTTCAGACTAATTTCTTTTTAACTTCAGACCCAATAAGTTTGAAGTTGATCGTAAAGTGGGTAGACTTGCAATTTTTTTCGCAAAATGGGTATATGTTCAATTGTGACCTCAAAACCAGGTATAAATGCAAAAGCCCCAGAAAAATACACTTAAAAGTAGTTTTTAAAAGTTTGGTCAAACACTAATTGCTATTTAAAAGAGTTTTTCAAATTGATTAGCCAAATACAAACTGCTTTTCACCAAAAGTATTTTTAAAAAAAATTAATTTCCAAAATATGCTGATTTCAGAAGTAAGGCCAAACATGCTATTAGTCAAGCCCCAAAACCAAACATGCTATTAGTCAAGCCCCAAAACGAGAAACCGAACACTGAGTGCGAAACTAAAAAAAGAATAGTTGATGTCAAAATTTGAAATGCCACATGTTCAGTTGGATCTTAAACTCTATTCTTTTGTTGATTATGTAAACAAACAAATGATAAAATTGACAAAACTTGGATAATCTTCATCATTGTTTCATACCAGCACTATGCTTTCTTGTTTTAGTAGCAACGTTCTCTTAATCTCAACTTAACTTTTTTATTTTTCAATTTTGTACATATTTCAAATTTTAAACTTTCATATATATATNCCAAAAACAATAACTTGCTCAACTACTTTTGGCTTTAACAAACATTGCTTCTTCCCGACATAGGCAGATCCAAGATTTAAATTCTATGTGTTCAACTTTTAAAGTTATGAGTTCATATCTATTATTTTTGCAATTTTAGTAAATTTTTACTCAGCGTCAAAAGTTATGGGTTCAATTGAACCCGGTATTAATATACTACATCCGTCACTTACATTCTAATAAAGTAATGTAGTTTCAATTTTGCTAAGTTTCTTCTCAAATAATTAGCTATTCCATTTTTCCATCTTAATGTAATGTTATTTCACTTATTTTGCACATTATATATCTTTCCTTTTTAATACTATTCACGCATCTTATTATATAAGGTTTTTATAAAATCTAACTTCATATTATATATATGCATCTAATTTTAAAAAAAAATAATGTTCCCTCAAATATTTTGACCTAATTTTAATTTTTCGATACTTATTTAGGTAGATGACAATAAATTAAATTAACAAATACGTAAATTACGAATAATGAGAAAAGTTGAGCAATATTCATTGCTACCACTCCTGCCCATGCCACTATATGGTAAAAAGAAAGTCTGATTCTCTTTCTCACAATCTCTTTTTCTGAACTTTCCTCTTTTCTGATCATTGGATTACATCAGCCGGATTTATACACATAAAATAATACGGCATAATTCTAATTATAATATGAGAAAATCATTGTGTACGTAGGCTAATATAATAAGAACGGTTTTTGTTTGGACTGTGATTGATGGTCTGATGATATTCTAACAAAGATATGATAATTTAAAGCCAATTGAATGGATATCAGCAATAATACTTCAATTAAATATTGAATGGAATGGAAGAATCAGTAGGCTTGGGGTCATTTTCGCACTGAAGAATTGGTAGTGGCTTCTCCTATTTTATATTTTTAAAAAAGGTATTATATTGCAGCTTAATTAATTATTCAGGGAGGACCTTATATCAATGATGATCTTTTATGATTTCTGTTAATATCAACCAATAAAACCTTCTACACAGAAGGCCTCAAGATCAACAGAAGAAAATTAATTCCAGAATTTGTTTTTTATTTACTATATCTTTTCTGATTATCTTTTGCCCCGCGAGGTTATTAGTGCCCTCAAATATATCTTAATCTTGGGATTCAAATAATTCTTGAAATCTAAAATTGGATTCCAAAGCCGTGCATATAATTTAAACTCATTTCCACGGTGGCGGAAACATCCCTTAATAATGGTGTCAGTTAGTATCGTCAGATGAAAAAAAAATTATTTTATGTGTAATTAATTTTTTTTATTACAAAGTATGTAGCCACTAAGCCAACACTGCGTGAAACTAGTACAAAGTAATAAGTGTTAGTTTGGAACTAGAAGTAACGTCTCAAAACCACCAAAGTACCCAGACTAAACTACAAAAGATGACTGTTATAATACGCCGATGTTAGTTCTATATATGGGTTAATGATGTAAAAAGTATATAGTTATGTTATATTCAAACGCTTATTATCATGCCAAAAGTTATAGTCGATAAAAAGGATTTAATTTCTTAACCAAACCTACTAGGCAAGCGTCATGTTTGACCATGACTCCAACATGGACCACCCCAACCCCCTCGTCAGTCGGATGTTGGCGTTACCCAACAATTTATGTTATAATGGCAAATGCAGTAATTACTAATAAATTTCTATGATAATTAAACTTAAATCTAGTGGAGAAAGAGAGGGGAACAAAATCTTTGGAGATGAGGGGGTTAAATTAAAGAAGGCACCTGAAACTGCAAAGGTCTGACGTATATTTGTATTCTGCAGTTTAAAGACACACGTGAGATTATATAGACTTGATACGAAAATAAAGGGGGACCAGATAAACTGCTACTCCACAGTTTTCCATTTCAAAATTCTGAGTCCAATGACTATCAACTTTGTACTATGCAATCGTAACATATATATCTGTGTAAAATAGGAGAAAATACATGATTAATGTTGTCTTATGCAAGATTAACTAAAATCCCAGGAAAGGAACATCATTATTGTAGCATCTCAGAAAACATAATTAAATAGATTAAGTAGTGCCCTAAAGAGTATTTACCGAAAGAGGAAGAATTTTGCGCTCCCTTTTTTTTTTATATGTCACGGAATCGAAACACAAAAACAGCCGCTAATGCGAGATATTTTGAACACTCTGACCTGCCTTTTTATGACCCCTAACGTAGTTTGCATTCTTTCAATTGATTAATATTATGCACAGAGAAATTCTTACCGTCATAGATGCAACTCAACTGTCATAATTCACAATTACGTACTGTACTGAACTAGAAGAGAAAAATAAGTTACTATAGTAGGTAAAAATTAAAATTAATGAAAAGGAATCCGGAAAATAATCTGTACTATTCTGTTGGATTAGTAGCAGTAGGTAGCGGACCAATAGCAGCACCGCCACCACTGCTATCACCAGCATTACCTCCACCATCTCCGCCACCACTACCACCGCCTTCTACTGCAATAACACCGCCGCGGCTAGCGCTGCTGCCAGCCGTGACCGAACTGGAACTTGGCCTTTTCCGTTTCTTCTTTTCATAAGGTATTCCTCTAGCTTTAGCTTGACTTTCTCTAACTTCCCTTAAATATATTCTAACAGCTTTAGCACCAAAAGGATTTGATTCAGGCTTTCCTCCATTTTCTTCATAAGCAGCTCTTAGCCTACCAATTAGTGCGTCAAGGCTACCCCAAGCCTGTTTCAACGGACAAGCACATGGTGCTGGTGGATTCGGGTGCCCGAAATAAGGGCACCCGGTCACGTGCACTTTCGTCTTCCCGAACTGATCGAGGTATTTTAGGAACTCGATCACGTGAGCTCCGCTGCAGCGGGCTAGGGTTAACGGTGGTTTGTGGTTCCTTAAGTACTGTAAGAAAGTGTTCCAATCTCGACGCTTTTGTGACTCGTACCGGCTCGGTGGTGCTGCAGGAGCCGCAGATCCTCCTGTTGAAATGTAATTATTAAGTAAATAAAAGTATATATATTTTCTAATTAACCGTTTAAACTTTTAATTTTTAAATAAGGTAATTATACAATTCAATACCTTCACTCTCAGTGATCCGACCACTGGCAGTTGCTGATGATGGACCCTCTCCTCCTCCTCCTCCTCCTCCTCCTCCGTTATTGTTCGGGTTGGATGCTCCAACCCTGGATGTAGAATCCATAAAATACAATCAATATAATATGTTAGTAGGAGTTGATTTGCATCCAATCCTTAATAGCGAGAATCCATTGTAAGAGAGGGAAGCTTTACATCCTTGTTTGGCAGTTCGCTAAGCGAAAAGTCATGATCGGAAAAGCCCTGCACAATAAATCAAGTGTCTATACTAGTTCTAGTACTGGATACTAAATAATTAAATAGGTCTGTCACCGATGACATAAGATCCTTCTCTGCTTGTCTAACTGCTCCAAATTGTCATATGCTAAATAAGATAAGGAAGACAAGTCAAAGCTGAAAGAAAGCCTTAACTCGAGAAATAGCTAGAGAAACAAGAGCAGCAAGACAAAAAGTGGTCTCACGCTATTGCAATTTAGCTCTTGCTGCCGTTTGATTCTACAATTGTAATCAAATTAAGCTAGCTAGCTCTGATCTTACTAAGGCTAGCTATCTGGGAAAGCTAAGGGAGATATATTGTTTTAAGAAAAAGATAGTGTAGAATTATTTGGAGCAGTTTTTTTGTGTGTAGATTATGGGTTTTCCAAGAATAGAACAAGTTGAGGGGTTTCAAAGTGAGAATAATAGCTGATGATGGGACGTAAAGGATCGGAGAAGAAGAAATATAAGTGAATGTGTGAGAGTTTGAAGTGAAGAGACTGTTTCTTTGAGTTCAGAGAAAGAGAAAGAGAAAGAGAGAGAGAAATAGAAGAAGAAACATGGAAATTAGGGGAAGAAAAGGAGTAATTGAGGTGGTGGCCCCGGGCGGAGGAGACAGGGGTTTACTATTCACATCACTGGCGGCCCCGCCACTCTCTCTTTGCATTTGCACTGTTTCGTCATCTTGTCTTCTATTGGTATAATCCAATGTATTCCCCCCATCTGTACCATTCTTCTTGACAATAATAATAATGGTTTCCCCCATTTTTTTTTATTTTTTTTTGAAGGGAGCTTTAACTTTCTGGTAAGGTTAGTGTCATCTAATCAGGAGGTTATCGGTTCGAGCTGTGAAAATAATCTTTTACATAAATGCAAAGTAACATTGCGTACAATAGACCCTTGTGGTCCGACAATTTCCCCCATTTTCTTTTTTTGAAGGGGAGCCTTGACGTAACTGGTAAAGTTGCTGCCATGTGATCAGAAGGTTACAGGTTCGAGCAATGTAAACAGTCTCTTGCATAAATATAGAGTAAGGTTGCGTACAATAGACTCATGTGGTCCGGCCTTCCCCAAATCTCACGCATAGCGAGGCTTAGTACATCGAGCTGTCTTTTTTTTTTTTGCATCCAATATTCAGTATTTGTATTGGACCAGATTAAATATGAATTCCTGTCCGGAAGTCCCATATTAGAAATAAAGCGTTAAATCTCCGATTAAAAATTATTATAATGATCACTTATATTGTGGGGTGAGTTTAAAAAACCCGTTAAATATAAACTTAGCATGTGTGTTCTCCACCGAATATTTAACAAACTTTATATTTGATTTAACACAACAATGAAAGATTAAGATTTAATGAGAACTCACATTTAGATGACAAGTTTTTGTAATTTCTGCTATTTATTTTTCTCTATTTCTTCCTAAATTATAATTCATGCATAATTTAATTAGTAAAGAAAAAAAAGGTTGGGCTCTCTTCTAGTAATATTTTCTTTAAACATCAAGAGGGAATATAATATACGAATTTGTTAGCCTCAAAATTATACTATAACAAACTAGAAGCTGAAATATTTTTATTCTAACCCCACTTCTGAGGGAACAATTAAGAACTTGTAACATATCTACAAAAAAAAGTTTATTAATTTACCAAAAATAAAAAGTTCATTATGAAATCACACAGAAGGAGATTTATCAACATTCTAGCATTGCAAAGTGAGAATTAGTACTAGAATATAAGGCCTTTCAAATTTATAAATTGTTTTTCCTGGGGTAGATCAATAAATAGATCCTATGAATCTAAGCAAGGCTGTGTCATATCAGAGTTGCTTTTGAATTAGCTGTTACTACAAGGTACGTAGTGGACAGGTATAATCTAAAGTCAAAAGTTCCGAATAACACTCTTGATAATGAAAGGATTAATCATGTTTTATGTTTTTTTTTTTTTTTTGTGTGCGCTCGATGGTACTCGTTTTGAGACCTGACTAATTATGATTTGTTATATCGCATGCTAATTTGATGGTGCAAATATTCATTAATTAGTTTACTCCAAAGGTAGTCAGAATTTTAGATCACTAATGTGCAAAGTACCACACTACAGACTATTTATTTACATGGATATATATAAACTTCAATAGTTTCGAAAAACAATTGATATAAACTATACAACAATATGTTTTTTCTTAATTCTTTTAACGATATATATATATACACTTCATAGTTGAAAAGCTGCGAAGAGCATCACTCGATCAGACAATGACGATATTAAGAAAAAGAAATACTCTGATTAATTCCATGATAGCAGAAATATTCACTTTTCACTTTTGTGTGAAACTAAACTGAGCAGAGAATTTATAGGAGCTAGTAAGATGGTATAGATGAATATCCAATCTCACAGTAAATAATCGCTCGGTATAGATATTCCTTCCGTTTAGGAAACATAAGAAAAAGTATAATTAGACAATTGTGTTGTAGAAATCCATCAATAAAATTTAATTTGGGGTAGCAGACTAATTATCATTACTTTATATTATTTGGTATTTCTTTTTTGCTATGCTTGAGGAACTCTATTGCTTGGGCAGAGCTAGAACTTGCTTATGAGTTCAGCTAAGATCCAAATCTTCTAATATCTTAAAATATTCACTTAGAGCCTAATAATTTAAGAGAACTAAAATTCTGAACCTATACACTTTAAATATTTTCTATGTTCTGGCTAGGGGTGTTAATGATTCGGTTCGGTCAGTTATTTTATAAAATTTGTACCATATCAATTTTTTGGTTATTTTATTATATATAACCAAAATTAGACTTTTCGAAATCGTCTCAATCATGTCGGTTTCTTTTCGGTATCGGCATGGTTTTGTTAAATTTCGGTATTTTTTAAAAAAGTGATGCAAAAGTCACTAGTAGAAGTAGAATGCAATAACAAACGTATTTTTATACGACTTAGCAAAACTCTCTAAATATTTTTATTATTCAAAGAGCGATGAATTCAAAAAACATGAAATGATGGCTAGAGTTAGATCCATCAATTATTCCACAACAGCGGAAAAAAAAACTAAATAAAGACAAAAAAAATATAAATCACACGAGTGAAAAGATATTAACCAAACTGGGACGACTCAAGAATAAAGTCTATGTAACATTTAATATTCAAAAAAATAGTCTAAATCATACGAAAAGAAACATAATCAATACATCATAGTTTGCTACTCATAATCGCTAGAATACCTTGTGTCTTGCTAGTGATATGCTAAAAATAATTTAGTTTCAATAGGAATAACATAATAGGTTTGAGAATTAGGATTTTGAGTTTTAATTACTTGTTGGCTTATAACCGTTTTCATAATTCCAAGGCGCAAGGAAAAATTTAATACTTTATTATTTTTAAACTTAATATATAAATTTATTTTTCACATGTAAATTTATTTGGTACGGTTCGGTATTTTTTCGATTTATTTTCATAAAATTAAATATCTACCCTAATTATCGATATGATTATATAGATTTATATAAAAATCTATAATTTTATTAAAAGAAACCTAAAATTTAATTCGATACGGTACATTTCGATCGGTTTAGTTATTTTTTAAATATACATTGACCACTCTACCAATATAAATATTCGAAACAATAGTGAAGATTTTTTCTTTAATTTTCTTTTAAATAAATTTTCACATAACCATGGGTTCTTTGAATGTGGTACGATGTGGTGAACATAGAACTGCTCAACGGCTAATTGGCTTCTTGAATTGGTCAAAGGAGTGGGGCCATCCGTACGAACTTACTTTTGCAGTGGGATTCCAATTGTCAAAATTGTCGACGGCAATATGGAAGTGGCATATTTTAGCTCTTTGTAGCAAGTAATTTACTACGGTATACTTTGTTTTAAATAACTTGAAAAGTTGGCATTGTAAAAAATATAAATATTAAACCTTTCGAATTGCCGAGTTGGTTTAGATGGCGGTCATCTATACGGATGACCTGAGATCGATTCCCCCCTCAATACATTATGGGTTGAGCATGTCGCACAAGGCTTGCTTAATGCGGTTTACATCGCCTGTGTGGTTTGCAGGCTATTACACATGAGAGGTTTACCCAGTGCGCACAAAATGCTTATCACAGAGCGCTCAACCGAAGTGCAGAGGCTGTGACAGAGGTTGTAGCGGCTATGAGTTTTCCCTCTTATCAAAAATAAAATAAAAATATATAAATATTATTATCGGTAATAATGCATTAGTCCCCCAAATATGTGATCGTGTTAGTAAATTCAATTAGTGTTTAAAATGATTGATGTTTTAGAAAGAAAAAAGTCATCTAGAGTAGTATTTTTGTTGAGATCTACACTCATTGTTTCAATTAGTTGAGTGTTTATTAAGTAGAATGTTTAAAGAGAAATAAAAAATAATTTATATAGATACTGGTATATGATTTTATGCTATTAACGTCTTCTTTAAGTGGTGTGCAAAAGTTCGATAGTTATATGACTAATTACAAATGTTTTTTAGTTATATAACCCACTTTATAAAAGATCTTTATGGTAAAATGCAGAAAGATCGATAACAAAAGACAGTCTGGTGTATAAAGTATTCCGCATTCACACAAAGTCGGGGAAAGAGTCGTATCCAAGGAGGTGTTGTAAGCAATCTATCCTAGTACATGCATCAGAGGCCAATTCCACGGCTCGAACCTGTGACCTATAAGTCATACGGAGACAACTTAAATATTGCTCCAAGACAGAAAGATCAATAATATTAAATGCAATAAAATATTTATAATATCATTTTCTTCAGTTCAAATTGTAACGATTATTATTTCGTACAAATTCCTTCTTAAAAAAATTGTACCAAAAGCATATGTTACTATACTCTAAAAACAAAGAGATGTGTTGGGGTGGGTGGTGAGGACTTGACGGTGAGTTAATGCCAAAATTGTCTTCTGGAAAATGAGGCATCTCGTGTGACTCTAATTAATTGCACATCTTGTTTTTCCCATTTTGTCCATTTCCTATCTAGCTTTGAAATCCACACGAAATTTGTACTCATTATATTTATAAAAAAAAAAATTGACATGGCATGAGTGTAACATTTCAAATGACAAAAATAGAAATACTATTCATCGACAACTTGGAATTTCTTTTGTGAATTTTTTTATTTTGGTTAACCTTTTTTTGTGAAAAATTATTCGTATAGAAGTTGTTTCAAGAAATTTTTATTCTCCTTTAATTTTGCGAAGCTAGTTAAATTCCTACAGTTTCAATGCAAACATATTATACGAAAGTTACATTGAGCTCACTTTAGCTTAAAATTTTCTGGTAATAACATGACAATTATGATAATAATCAAATTAAACATACTCCAGTAGTATCTAATTGCTTAATCATCATTCATTTTTTTGACATTTTATTGATAACATGTCAGTTGTTATTTTTATTAAGCTATTAATTAATACTTATCATAAAAAATTTATGTATATTACAATAATAAGTAAGCTAGTTATTTTTAAAAAAACTTACACTATCAGTTAATAACACTTAAATTCTTAATTAATACGACGTGGGAGATACACAAGAATTAACATAAGCTACTTGAATATATGTGGTAAATATAATAGTGGCTTCATCGTACAACATTTGTAAAATCTCCCTTTCATAATTGTCTTGGCATATATTATTTTGCCTTAAAAAAAAGGTATCCAATGCTTCATCCCATTAACATGAATTCTTATTAAATTTACATTGTGTACAAAAAAGTCAATTTAATTCCCAACCCCACAATTTCTTAAATTATAATCTAGGAAAAGATTTAATCGACTTTCAACGCTAATTATGCCTTGACGTTAAAGGGATTCCTTCTAATCATTCATCTCCTTACGCAATTAGAACTAGCTTTGAAAATGAAAGTTCTCATAGGGTATATCCTAAATAGCCTGATATATGTATTATAGCATTAGAATTAAGATAGTGATAGAGTACAATTATTATAAAGTTGTTATTGTTATAATTAATTTTTTTTATAAGGATGATAGAGTACAATTATTTTAAAGTTGTTATTATTATAATTATTTTTTTAAAAAAATAGGTACTCATTTACAAGGGAAAGAAAAAAATAGTTTAATGAATGACATTAGCAATATTAATAGTGACGATGATGATCATAATAATTAAAGCTTACATCAAGAAATCTCTTCGGATTAATTAAACTATATGTTAATGATAGAGAACGATAGAAGTTTTCAGTATATTACATCATGACAAGGGGCCTACTGTTAATATTAAATTTCTGCTACTTCCTTTAATTATGAAAAGAGAAAACTCTTTTACAATTCAACCAAGATTGTTTAGTAGCAGTTTTCAGGTTATGTTTTCTGAAATTTAATACCTTTCTGTTAATGTATATAAGAGACTTAGCATATGTAAAAATATGTAAGTGATTGTAATTTGAAGGATGGATTTATAGCCTATTTTATGGGCACGTGAACTCATGATCTTCCGTCAAATTAAGTATTTTATGTACATATTTGCTAAAATTGATTCAATATTATCTGGTGACACTCAAAGAAGCTAAATGATGCATTTGATTGAATGCTTAATTATTTACTTAGAGGAGTAGGGATCAATTTTCATTTAATACTCTTTTTTCTAAGTAAATGGGAACTCATGATATATATTAATGTATGAATTATAACCTTTTAACCGCTGAATTATTCCACAGGAACTCACACCAGATTTTTTTTATATTGAAATTCTCATCTTTCTTTGCTAATTAAAGTATTGATATGAATACAACGAATAGGACAAAAAGTGAACGTATGTAATTGGTCTATTTATTACTCCCCATCCACTATTCATGCCCATGTTCCCATTGGGATGTTGGGTCTATTTCCAACTGATTGTGACCCAAACCTCGTGAAAGTTAGCAATGCTAGATCGCTCGTAAAAAATGGGGCGGCTCAATAAATACGGAGGCCTAAAATAAAAATTCAATGAGAGGCTATTTTTTTATATAAAAGAAAAAATTCATATATAATTTCATTTAAATTCTGTATTTCTAGTTTTTCATATGCAAAGTTATTAATAATTTTATCTAATCTATTTAATTTCTCTTGAGATATACACGTTGTGGGACTATATTAAAGTTTTAACCTTTTTTGAGTTATGAATTAATAATCGAATCTTTTCTCAATTTATGGTCTAGAGAGTGATTCCCAAAAAGACATTTTTTCTCAATTTATGATCAACAATTTAATCCTACTTTTTTACTATGAAAATTTATACTTTCTCATTTAAAACACTAAATATTCTTCTAAAAATAAATTAATATATAACCTATTAGAAAATTTTGGGGCCCCAAAAATTATGAGGTCCAAAGCAGCTGCTTTAGCAGCCTTACCCTTGGGCCGGCACTGGTAAAAATCAGAAATAGCTAGATTTATAACTGATAATGAAAAAATAGTCACAATTTTAAAAGTAATCGAAATTTAGACACTTTTTCATGTAAAGATAAAATCAGAACAAAAACACCCTTAAAAATCTGGAAAAATTCCAGCATAATATGCTGAAATTTCATAATGTGCTGGAGTTCCAACATAATATAGTCAAATTTCTCTATAACAGCCTCGTTTGTTCCGAATATTTTTGGATGTTATAGAGAAGTGCTGTTATAGAGAACATATATTATAACATAACATAAAAATTAGTTCCAAAAAAGCTTGGCTTTTATAGAGAAGTGTTGTTATATAGGGATGCTGTTATAGAGAGGTCTGACTGTATGCTGAAAATTTATACGCAGGAGCTCCAATGTCCATCATATTATGTTGGAACTTTCCGTGTGCTGGAGTTCCAATATAATATGTTGGAAGTTTATACGCAGGAGTTCCACAATTCAGTATATTATTTAGGAAATTTCCGTGTTTAAGTAAAATAATGGCTATTTTTCAATGACTTTGCAAATACGAGCTATTTTTCAATTATGAATCCGAAAACTGGCTACCCCGTGCTATTTTCACGAGATAACTATGTGAGTTATATATTCTGTAAGAAATGACATACTATCATTTAATATTTTAGCAAGTTACGAATTAATATTTATGGTATAAACTTAATTAAACTCATGCTATCATTTCCACAGCCACAAGCAAATGATAAAAGAAACTGCTACAGCACTTAGTTTATTTGGGGCCTTGATTTTAATATCATTCTTCTTTTGGACCATTTAATTAACTTCTCATTTACATTAAATATCAATTAGAGCCTACACCTAGTATTAGCTGTGACTAAGGTCATGATCAAATATTTGAGGACACCAAAAAGGTTCAGTTTTCTTTATATTATTATTATAAAGGTCAAAAGAAAATATAGGTAGTGGAATCTAAACGTCCAACTTCCAGATATCAATCAAGAGTATAGTTATAAACTCACTGGGTTTCATTTGAAAAATAAATAAGTATTTTAGATGATAGCTTGTATATCCAATTTTAGTGCAACGAACCAAACAACCAACAAGAAATAATCCATGTATTGTTAATTTATATATTACTAATCCCTACATAACTAATTCATTGCATTATAATCCATATATTATAACTAGTCTTCGTACCAAACGACCTTTTAATTGATGAATTAAAAAAGGTAAAGACGATTAGCATATATAATAGGAAGAAGCATATGGAGAATAAAATTCCCTTTTGAAAGGACCCTTCAGGAGATTTGGATTCTTTAGGAGAGGGCCCTTTATATGATATCCTCATTACTTTTGCCTCCCATTTCTTCAAAGTAATTGCATTTAGCCACTGAAAGGCAGATGTTTTAGTGGGTAGGGTACTCCAGTGTTCTTTTAGCTTTTCTCTTTTGAGAAGCATATACTTAGCAATTTTTCCTTTATTTGCTATCTTTTCCTTTTAATACTTATTCATCTATAGTAGTATTAGAAGTGGAATTTTGGAGCAAAGATAGTGTTATCTCCGTATGATCCATAGGTCACGAGTTCGAGCCATTGAAATAATCACTAATGCTTGCATCAAGGTAAGTTGTCCACATCACACCCCTTGAGGTGCGGCCCTTCCCCTGACCCTGCGTGAATGCGAGATGCTTTGTGCACTGGCTACCCTTTACCCTTTCCTGTGTAGTAGTATTAGACTGCATCATATGAAACTACTAGAGAGTAAAGAAGAGTATTTGTGGAAAACTCAAAAGGAAAATCTTAAATGGAGACGCCCATTGCGCACCTTTATGAAATTACAACTAATATACTGCAATTTCCTTCTTGTAGCTTTGCAAATTTCTTATTCGCGAGTTAAGTTATCGTTTTTATTTGGTAAAGAGAAATTAGAACATTTTTGGTGAAAATAAAGGTCAATAAGCTAAAAGGACAAGAAGCCACATCGATCTGGTCCTCGATCTTGCCTGCCAAATGCCAATCATGGAAAACCGTCTGATTAGTTGAAACATAAGGGAAACTTTATTTTTTATGTCTTCGTTGAAGGGTGTTTGATGATTAGATAGAAAAATGAATGAACAATGATTGATAATTAAAAAAGTAATCTGAATAGGCAACATCCACTTCTATATCTATATCTATATGTATAATATGTGTATATTAGTATATAATCACCAGCTAAAAAAATAAACAGGGAATCCGATCGGCTATTTGTATAAAGAACCCTTTGCATAGTAGTCGTGTGCATGGATGGATTAGGGGGCGGAGGGGGGTTCACAACCCCCTTTATCGAAAAATTACACTATGTATATAAGGCAAAATTTGTTTTTAATCTATATATTATGTTTTGAATCCCCTTAACATAGTCCAAAAGCATAACTTAGTGGTCAAGGGGTTCAAAACCTGTGTGAGGTCATTGTTCAATTCCCACTAGCTGCAATCTCTTTTAATTTTTTAACTTTTTTGAACCCATAAGCGAAAATCCTGCCTCCGCCATTGGTCGTGTGAACTGAAAAATTGAAGAAAAACGACATGCCATTTGCTAGAAAATTGAAGAAAAACGACACTAGGTGTTGCCCATTTCACGATCATCATATTGAGGTCTGTTGGCAGTAGTTAAGAACAAAACTACCCATACGAACCATGGGGAAAAAAACACGGAAAACGTCAAAATGATCAACAAAATTCTCATAAGAAATTTTCGACACGGCAAAAATAAAAAAGAAAAAATTCCTTTGGTTATGGAAAGGGTGAAAAGATGTGACAATCAAGAGCCTATTTCAAACAAATTAGAAAATTTAAAAGCATGGCATGTCAATGGAACATAAATAAAAGAATGGCTAGATATGTACTACCAAGAGAAATGACAATAAATTTACCTGATCCCTGTGATGACAAAACTAGTCACAAGAGGTAACTGCTAATGCCACACCCAGATCATTTGAGGTTCCGCATACGTACATTCTGTATGTTTCAAATTCTTGTTGATAACCCCTCGGAGCATGACCAACATAGTAATTTTCGCAAAGGTGATCGCGTTTGGTAAATATGATCTCTCTCGACACTGGTTCATGGCCATTGAGAAGATTTCCCATGCTTAATACTTTCCTCCATGATTGATTTGCAGTAGGTGGGGTGAACATGCTTGCAATTACTTCTCTCTCTCCTTGCCTAACTTCTTGTTCATTATTGAAAACCTGACATAACAAAAGTTGCACGCGTATAAAATGAGAAAGCAAGAGATAGAGGCACAGGTCATTTAGTATGCACAAAAATTGACATATTCAGCCACAAAGGCTAAAGTGAGTGGCAAAGAGTTAAGTTAATGTTGGGAGAACAGTTAATAATTCTTGATCAAGATATTACTGCCATTCTTGGAATAGCATTCAGGAAAAAAAATATTCTTGAAATAGCAAAAGAGACGGAACAAGAGCAAAGAATCGTACCTTTTTCACATCACGACCAATTGAGACTGTTCCAAGTTTTGGTACATGGAAGTTATCGTAGTCATTGAAGATTGATTCTGATAGACGTGGTGCTTGCATGAACTTGCGATGAAGAGATGCAGCAAGTGTTATCAAATTCTCGACATGTGCAAAAGTTGTACAGAGCCGCTTCAGGTCTTTAATATCTTCTGCATCAACAAAAAGGCTATTTGCTGCATACAAAAAAAAAAAAAANTCTTCTGCATCAACAAAAAGGCTATTTGCTGCAAAAAAAAAAAAAAAGGCCAACCTATAAAGAGCTCTTAAAAATTTACTTATAACGCAATAACATACTGGACCAACAAATGTACTTTGCAAGCATCTGAGAGTCGTTGACATGGTGAGGTAAAGTTGTTCAATTCTGGTGGTCATCTGCTTTAGACCTCCAAATGACGTTTTATTTAGTGTGTCAGCTGTTGCTCTAAAAGCAGTAGAAACCATTTGTTCCAACAACTGATATGGCCGCAGTGTTTCCAAATAATGAAGAACCTACACAAGTTGAATGATACAAATCTCAAATCAACAAGTTAGTAAAAAATACGAGTATTTCAATGGAATTGACAAAACTATAAAAACATTTTGCAATTTCACTGCCCTCTGTACCCTTTCCTTATTGATCCTTATCTATGCCCTAAAAACCTCAACAGCTTAGCTACCCTGACCCAAACTCTCAGGTCATTAGCACTGCAAGTGATTCAAGAATTCATAGATGAGGCTCATTTGGAGAAAGATTAGAAGATGTAAGGAATCATCTGTCTGGATTAAAGAGGGGGCAATAGATGAATATGGAAAACTGCAAACCCATGGCAGAAGCCTGTGGGGTTGTTTAAATTTGGGAGAAATGCTCAGGAGTAAGGACTATCGGAAACAGCCTCTCTACCTTCAAAGGTAGGAGTAGGGTCTTCGTACACATTACCCTCCCCCAGATCCCACTTTGTGGGATTACGCTGGGTTTGTTGTTATTGTTGTTGTTGCTCAGGAGTCTCCAAATTTTAGCCTCTGGAGGACGATCAAATATTCCCCCTTCAACTAGTCTGAGGGAAATAAACCCCCTCAAAGATCAAAACCTGCACTTTGTCTGCTTAAATATTGAAATTCCCTTGAAGCTTTACGATGGATCACTTATACTAAAAATATATAAATGAGCCTGGAAGTTATGCAAGTACGCAATGAATCCCAGTATACCTTTTCTCCTTCTTGATTTGGATCCAGAAGGGGCTTCTGCTCAGAAGCTGGCAATGGAGGTGCCTCGTTCCATATCTTTCTCCATAAATTCCCATGCTCAGACATTCTTTCCGAAAGTTTTCCACGAGGTGGCCAATCATATGTTGACTCTACCACTGCATTAATTTGAGATACTCCCTTCTCCATATTATCATCATTTTCCCAGTCCCTGGGTGAATGCCAGCGGATGAAATCTTCAAACACAGCATCCGGATTTGCTGCTTTAAATGCAGACATATCTATTGCACAACGCAAGGATAATAAAGAGCAAGGAAGAAGATCAAATCTCCAAATATCAGCAAGCACATAATAATTGGAAATATGTAAGTCGAGCATGATGCATCTTTATACACAGTTACTGATATGGATCACATATTGGAGTAGTAACACCTAACAATAGATTACAGTTTCATACTCAGTACTAAAAGAACCGTAACATGCTGACTTTCCTTCCATGGTTAGACGACACAACAGACATAATAGAACCCTATAACAACACAAATTGGAACGAAGAAATTGTACTTATGATGATTAACAAACCATCGCCACACTTTTGACCAAAGATCCTTAATTTTTTTAGAAATTTTTTCACAAGAACAAAATTTGCATAATTTTCAATGAGATGTTAATTTCTGTTCAAGAAACACTGAGCGAAAATGGACCTGCTCTAAGTTCTTCAGCTAATGACTAATATATTTTTCTGCAGCAGTAAAAACTAATAAGGGTATATTTCAGCTCGAGAAACAGCTTCACACGAAAACCTTGAGGTAAAACAGAAGAAGTGTTGATTATTAACAGATTTGCTCTAGCCACCGCAAGATGCACAACCATCTATTTGCATTTCCAAACCATCAAAGCATCCCATATTCTCAGTACACAACAGCCAACGAGTTGAGTCTCAAGATGCTCACTTGATGCTTTAGCTAAATTCTACTTGCAATTACTGATAAGAAAGCAACAACACATGCACACGTGCGACAGCAAGAAGGAAGGATTTTGAAGAAAATAAGAGCACAGAAGTTACTACCTGATGACAAAATGTCTTTCTCTAGTTGGGCGGAAAATCTCTGTAAATGAGAATTAGGCATTCCATTGTCAGATGAAATAATACTAATAGTAGAAAAGGTAAGACTTCATGAAACAACTGAAGGATTGCTTAACTGAAAACAACTGTTTTTCCAAGGAAATATTACAATATAAGAAACCTCTGCATATTTCCTTCAAGCAAGACTAGAATATTCAAAAAACACAAAAACCAATACCAGGATAATCCAAAAACTATACAATTTCGCGCACTTTGTGTGCAAATATTTTAAATAATCTTTAATTGTTCATTCTAGACATGAGTGCTAATGAATACAAAGCGGTGCAGTGTTTTAAAGAATTTAAAAAAAAATAAAAATAAGAACGAGAAATTTTATGGCGGCTTCAAACGTGAGAGAGTGGAGTTGAGTGGAGAGACTAAAACCTATAAGAGTTGAAATCAATATTCAGTAGTGGGAACAGGGAATGAATCAGTTTTAGACTTTTAGGAGAGATCATGGTAATTAGTTTAGAGTTTTGCAGCTCTAATAGTATATAGATGAATTACAAATTCTCTGTAATAAATTAGAGTGGAAAGGAGACCACTTCACCATGATTATGCTATTCTAAGCCATATCAATCATTAGCAGAATGCAACTGAATATTTTTTAATCTACATATTCAGGAACATCAATAAGGACAATTCGCTAACTGAGACGTGCATATGGATTTAAGTACCTACAGAGCCCTTTAAACTCCTTTTCCAAGTGCCATCACGCTACCAATCATCTCTAGGAGATCTACTTGCAATTCCTAATTGTAGCGCAGTGCTTGCTCACAATTTCTTAAGGAGACGATCTAACAATTGGTGCAGTTCTTGTTCACAATTTCGTAAGCAGAAGTAGATGTAACAATTGGTGAGAGTGACAATAACATTTCTCTTATTGAACAGGTTCAGTACCAACAAGCAGAAAAGTGGAAGAAAACAGTGTTGTTTGTGCTACATAACCTGAAGCCAGGACACATGTATCTGATTCACCAGTAAACCATTAAATGTTCATTCATGCACCAACTATAAACTTCCTACATTAGACATCATTCTTCATTCGATTCAGAATATGTGGTGACTCTCCACAGGAATAGTGACAGCAGCAAATTTCATAATAATCAATTAGAAAAATGAGTTATCTGTAAGAGTTTTGAGCTCACAGAAGAATCACCAAGGGCCTCAATGGCTTGTAGACGTTCTTCATGCATGTCTTCAGTCATCAGTGGTGAATCCTATAATAATTTTCCCATATTTAAAACTGTGAAGGAAATAGAAGGCAAATGAAAACAATAAATACTTAGCAGTACAGGTAAATCAACCCGTGTAAATGGAGCATGCATGTTCTGGTAAGATTTCAAAAGCATCATAGACCCAACAACACCAGCCGATCCCCTCCTAATACATGCCGAATGCTCTGGATCACCTAACTTCACAGCACCAGAATGTTCAAAACTTGAAATATGACTTGCAGGATCTTGATCTGGTGTTGATAGACTGCAGAAAGAACAGGAAAACAACTCAGTTCGGTTCAAAGGGAAGATATTCAAACTAATACAGGTTCGTAAGTTTTTGAAATATAATAAATCCAGATATTGCACCGTAAAAGCACGCCTTTCTCCCTGACTCAATTTATTGCCGATGCTGCAAATTTAAAACCTATGAACCTCCATCCAGATGTAAGCAAATGGCAAAGACAAAGAGGACTACCCCTAAAATAGGTAACCTTGCCTCAACCCCAAATAATAAATCAAAACCCAAAAAGATGAACAAAAAGGAGAAATGGGCAGATCATTTTGGATTAACGTGTCATCCTTTAGGTAGCGGAAAAAGTAAAAAGAGAAGGTGAGACACCCATCCTGACCCAACAGCACATTTAAGTATTTGGATTAGACATTGTCTTGAAGGAGCAACATTTAGCAAAAGAGGGTCCAAAACAAGTATCTAATTTTCCATCAATACCAAAAAAAAAAATTAAACTCCCCTCAGTGGAAAAAGTGGGAATATTCCTATTTTAGAGTCAAAACAAACCATGTAATCCATTATCACTTTTATGAGTTTTGAGAACAACTAGCAAAAACTAATGAATCAATGAAGCAGTCAAGATACAGCTTATGGAATGTAGACTGCTGCAGCGTAAATCACCAGGCTTTAGGACCATAGGAGCTTCAATTCCTCCATCATGAGAAAATAAATAAGCTAAGCGAAAAATATTGAGTAGCCGTAACGAAATCACAAAACTTTCCCTTCACAAAGCCTAGCATTGTAAAATAGACAAGAATAGAAGTGCTCAAAAAGCAGAAAAACTCACATAGTTTAGAAAGACTAGATTCGCAGACAATTAGCTAGCATTTAACAATTTACACAAAAGGTTCTCACTTGCTTTTCACCTGTCACATTCCCAACAAGAAGCCTGAGCATCTCCATCTTGAGAAGATATAACACTTTGGACTTCAGTGTCTGCCTATATTAATCAGTTAATTAATATCCTGTCAGATCATTAAGTTATAACAATGCTTTGACATTCTTAAACACTTAAAACATTAAATACAAATAACAACGTAAAAATTGTCATAAAAGTACCTTAATACGAGCAGAAAGAAAAACTCCGTTTTCATCTGCCTTCGGACCCTTTTGATTAAACTGATGCTTTCTATCCATACAAATTGCAAGCTACATATTTGGGAGATAAAATATAATCAGACCAGATAGATAAATCATATCTTTAAGAAAATTATTTAAGAAAAGGCAAAGGAACATGTCATTCACAAGTACTCATGAAACCTCCATATTTATCAATTTAGAAGATCCACCTTTTTCTTAAGAAAGATTCACTATTTATGACTGAACTTGGCAACAGATTCTTAAGGAAGCTCATCACAATAAGGAGAATTACATACTAACAGCTTTAAGAAAAGTTGAGACTCTGATCCACGTTTTGTAAGATATAACATCATAAAGCTTGAGATTACATGTCATATTGCACATTACATCTACGTCAAAAGACTGAGTAGGTGGACATAAAAAAAGTCACACTGTTCAAGCATTACTGCCTGCGACTTACCATGTGTAATTTCTGGTTAATTAAACAGGTAGTTAGGTCAATTACACCATTGGCTGGCATTCTAGGTAATGGCTGTGACTCTTCCCAACACCAGCGAACTTCCCGTACGAACTCTATCCAGAATGCTGCAATAGCTAATAGACATCATAGAGAAAATAGATCTTAGAAAAAGAATCCTGAATTAACTTAAGTTGCAGGAATGTAAAGGAAGTGATTTCTTGAATTGATTCAGAACATTATAAGTTAGAAGGTACCCCTTATATTGCAATCGCCAACCCAGAGAGCGTGCAGACAGAACTGCCCAAAAAGTGATTCAAGAGGAGCGCCTTTAATGGTCCGAGAATTTTTGTGATCTCCTTCAGCAAAATCAGGTTGGGCTGCTTCAACTGTATGAACAAATTTGAATAAAAGCAAGATGAGTCAACTGAATGTTTCTCCTTCCATTTAGACCATGAAATTCGGAACTCCAAGACCATATGATCAATTAAATTCTGCAGAAAATACTTCTATTACATCTTTTTGAAATTTTCTTGTTAAAATGATCTATCATTTGTGGAGTAAAAACATATTAAAATACTTGTCCTCAATATGGCTTGGTCAGTCAAGAATCCAGCTGACTTCACATATCTCCACGCCATTTATCTATGATAAGTTATCATCTTTTTTCTGATTAATGAAACACGCATCTAAGTACAGAACAAAAAGAGGGGTTAAATTGCCCTATCGAGCTGTTGAACTTCATGGTTTTCACTTATAGAAGCATTAATTGATTTTGGTAGCTGAGTGCACTTAAAGAATCTGAGCATATACAGCAAACATTTAAGTTAAAATGAGATAGCACTAAGCCGTTATAACTCCTTCCCTGCCTCCATTCTCCCTCAGACATGCAGTGTTTTCATGTATAAAAGTCATTGATCATAATATCAAACCGTATAGTAAGTAAAAGAAAGTATAGAACCAGAGAGGGGTATTGTCTATCAAAGGACCTCTGGAAGTAGCATATACCATTTCAGAATTGCATGTGCATTTATGCAGCCCCAAGCGGGAGACATAGAAATGCTACAATTAGAGAGAATCAGAACTCGTGCTATACCCTCATAAAATAGGTCTTTAAGCACACGATCAAGGACAGTTGGGGGAGGTATGATGGCAGTAGACTTTAAATTCTCAGGTCTTGAGTGCTCTACTGCAAAAAAAGCAGATTAGGAAACAAGTGTTAGAATCTAACTTTACATGTATCCAAATCTGACATTGCAGCCCGATTAATCAGAAAATTGCAGATGGTGTGTGCACATTTATAGAACCTGAAACAAAATCTTCCACAAATTGTGTTTCCAGTGACATATGCAAAGCATCAATTAAAAGCTGCAACTGCGATGCAAATCCAATTCTCTTTCCATCAGAATCAGCACTTCTGAATACACCAAATGCTTATGAAATGAGACTCCAAACTGGTGACAAAGTTCAGTCAAAACCAATAAAGACTGAATCAGAAGAAACTATTACAACAACAACAACAACCCAGTATAATCCCACAAGTGGGGCCTGGGGAGGGTAGTGTGTACGCAGACCTTACAAGTGGGGTCTGGGGAGGGTAGTGTGTACGCAGACCTTACCCCTACCCTTGGGGTAGAGAGGCTGTTTCCGATAGATCCTCGGCACAAGAGGATGTAGAATAGTAACAATAACATAACCAGAAAGATAGTACCAGCGAGCTAAGAGTCAGAAAATCACAAGAAACTATTAGAAACATAATTTCTAAAGACCCTGCCACCTCTAATGTGATAGCTAGGATATTATGGAGAAGCTTAATCTTGGATAAAAGCATCCTTCAGTGGATTTTGATGCAACTGGTCAATTTTGCAGAATTCAATGTTTCAACTATAGATAACCCTCCTTCCACTCAGTAACACCCCAAAAGCAAAATAAATAAATGAGGCAAGAAAAGAATGAAAACAAATTAAACTTCACTATTTCTAAAGTATATTCGGCAGAGCGTTTAACGCATTACAGTGTCAATTCCCTCCTCTTAATGTAGAATTAGAGACTCACCAAAATGCTACAAGAAGATGACGATTCATTTCGATACCTAGTCGATAATTTAGTTTAGAAAGTTCATCTACCTCACTGAAGAAAAGCTGCATGGTTTGGGAAGATACACAACTTGAGATCTCTTAAACCACTGCATAGATAGTGAATTGGCAAGACAGGAGTCACAACATGTATTACCCTTTATTCTTTGCCAGTGGGAGATTTTTGGACAAGCATTAGCCAGACCCACAGGAAGGGAAAACTTGCACTTGTGGGTGGTTAGCATCCCATTCATCAAGTTACTAGGCCAGCGGTCAAAATTTAAGTTCAGAGGAATATCAAGTCATAGCATTGAAGCTTCTTGTTGCCAATATTGTTATATACTTCCATGATAATCAAGACTTTTTGTCACACAAAGTGGCTAGCCACTATAGTGTAGAGCAAATACTTTAAAAATAATCACTTTCTTTCGCTACATTGAATCATTGACTTCTAAAGCAATTAAAAACTTTCATCTGGATATTTGGAGGTTTTATTTAATTGTGTGATGTAAATAGCTGCAGGGACCTCAATAGGAACACATTTCACTGGAAAGTATGTGCACATCGGTAGAGCTTACATGCGCATAGCAAACAAGAATCTCAAGGGAACACATCTAGAAGGCAAATGAACACTTCTAAATCACAAAATATACCAATATAATTCATTAAGAAAGTAGTTAGAAGGCCCAAGTCTTTTATTTTTGTCATGAGCATGCATGAGCAAAAGAAGAACAAGTCTTGTATTTAGATTATCTCTTACAGAATCTCAGATACGCATGGAGATATCGACCACTTCTCAGCCTCAAGAGGTGAAGCATTTTCCAGCTCAGCCATTTCTAGTGAACTCTCAATTGCCTTCTCAGACCATATAGTAAGCAGCTCAAAACCTGCATCATTAACGAACACATGTAGTAAATAACACTAGTGGACAGAGAAGAAAGAATTAGACAAAGATCAATCTTTTGTACCAACACCTTAAAATTTCTAAGCAAATAATATACAAAAAAGTAATAGTGGGGATAGAAAAAAAATGAACTAGAGTATTACAACCGCCAAAAGAAAGACGTTCTCTCCAGTTAAAGGTTCTTAAAAATCCTTTCCATCTCAATGTTCAGAGTTGGTAATAGAACGATAATTTTCCTCAAAGCACTCCCGAATAATGGTAAGGCCAAAAACCGTGTACTTAATAAAAAGAAAAATTGTGGCTTCTTTATTCATAAAAGTCATTCTAAGAAGAGCTCCCGGTTATGAGTAAAGATCCAAACATCCAATTATGAGAACTTAAAGCAGCAAGTCTGCAAAATCAGGCTAAGATGGTCTCATGTCACTCCCTCTAATGAGCTCCGACAAGATCCGATAACAGGAAATATAGTTGATACAGTTATTACTCTCAGAAACATAATTACCTTTTACTGGGTCCTCCGCAGAGTACCACTCACTCCAAGGACAATCGTCATCCCACGGTTTTCTATTATGATGTTTGCTTTTGGGACTTCCCCCTGCTTCTGTAATGCCTCCCTCAGGTTCTTGTACATCAAAATCCTCGTCGTAGGGAACTGTACGATAGGTCAGATTCATCTTGAGATTGACTTGAAAAAGATGCATGGACAGGTCCATATTGGAGAAGGCCTTGAGCAAGGAATTCAAGATAGACATGTTGGAAGCACATTAGCTGAAGATAATCAAAAGCTCATAGAACAAGTAATCTAATTCCTTGAAAGCAAGAATAGATGCAATTTTCGAGAACATATAATTCATTTTGGCTAATAGCTGGGCATAGAAACATTTTAGAGGCGTGTGAGTATGTTATAAAAAGTTTTTTTTTTTTTATATCGGTAAACCTACCCCCAAACTTCCTTTACAGGAGCCCAATATTGACCCTTTTTCCACTTTGCTCCTTTGGTGACTCAAACCCCCAACCTTACAGTTGGAGGTGGAGAGTCATTACCACCAGGTTATCCCTCCCTTGTCATGTCATTAAAGGCCGATTAAATTAACGCATAAGGAGGATATCCGAAATATGATTTTAAATGGGGGCAAGATAAAGAATCATTCTGGACATGAATTCAATATGCTGCTATGCCAGAATGTAAATATCATCTAACAAAAAGAGTAAAGCACAAAAACTTAGATCTACCAAATGCAAACTCTGTAAAAGTAGGTCATGGAACATCAAACATGAAGTTCTGTTTACACTTTAGGGGATGCAGCATATCATCAAGACTCGCAAGATCTACTAACCATCAGAATCTACAAATCACTTGGAATATCAAAAGTCTACACAAGAAGAACTTACAAATTTAGAAACAAATAGCTCATATAATCCCTCCAAATGCATAAGCTTCAACGGCACCTGGCTACCTATACGGTCAGCTTCAAATCGTCTAGTGTAAAGGGTTCCCATGTTCTGGATGCCAATGTATGCTTTACGAGAAGGAACATGCACTGGAACAAATGCCGGCCACAAACTGCATGGTGTAAGCATATCAACTATTTCCTAAATTGTTCACTACAGAACGGGAAGAAGTATAACAAATATAAAGCCAAGAGTTGAGCATCGTCAGTTCATGAAGAAGACCGAAGTACAGATATGACTTCAACTTTAGTGAAGCAGATAAGAAATTCCAGCAAATTTAGTTTGGAAATGTGAGAAGTTTAAACCTCAGTTTCAATATGTTGTGGTCTATTCTAGTGTCTTATTCGTCTCTGCATTTTTTCAGTCCCCTTTTTAATAACAACGTGACGTTTTTCAAAGCCCCTTTTTAACAAAGAGAATTAAAGGTGCATTGAAAAGTCTACATCTTTTAATAGGTTGCCACTTTTATTAGTACTGGCATAATGGCTTTTCTTATTGATGTAATGTTCTATTCATGCAAATTAATAGATACAGCTTTCCAAGTAAAAGTTTCAAGTTAGATAAATCTGATTCCCCCTTTAATGCTCAGTTTTAACACATTACTCAGAAAAAAGCACCACGAAAGTTCTAGAAGTTTACAATACGGCGTACGATTAGCCTCTCTTTAATCGTTTGGAGAGCTGAGGAAATTCATAAAGTCGGGGTAGTTTAAAGAATTTCAAGGACTTTTAGTTTTATTCTTTTTTCAAAAAGGGAACATTTGAAACATCAGCCTGGTGCTGCTTGCCAAAAGGGAAAATATATGAAACATAGCCTTTTTCTATTCGTGATTCCTAATAAACCAACATCACATACTTCATATTAACTGCAAATTTACATACATTCAATTCAAAAATGTTACTCAGAACTCTCCTTCCTAATAACATGCTAATACTCTCCTTCCTCATGCTCTCGGCGCATGTTAGTTAACGTACGCCGCCTGTGTCAGCCATGGCGAAAGGGAGAGGCAGAGGGCGTGGACGACCTAGGAAGCAACCGTTAATTACCGTTGTAAGCTCGGCGGTAACTGGTAATCAACCACCGATGGAGAAATCAACACCAGAACCAACTCCACCTCCGTCAGTTACAATTGCAGATCCAGCAACAAATGGAGGTGCTGCATGTGATTTTGGATCTACATCGACAAATCCTAGCATCTCTAAGAGACTAGATCTAACTTCCCCAGTGACAATTGATCATTTAGCAACTTCTTCAACAGTACGAGTCAATGGAACAGTAAAATTGGCAAATCCAGCTCAAAATCAAGTAAATATTGTAGGCTCATCGGAGAAATCAGCAGTAGAAGAGGTGGTGATAGTAAATGAAGCTGCACCTAAAGCGCCATGGACAACTTTGTTCCAGAAGAATAGGTTTGCTACCAATGGTATGTCTCTATCCTATATTCCACCACAAATTGTTGATGGCAAGCCTATGGTTCAATTAGATAAATTAGAGGTAGAAGAGGAAGAGAACAAATGGAGGTGTGCGTTGATTGCATATATCATAGGTGATGGACCAGGCTATAATGCGATGAAACGATACATCAATTTGCACTGGTCGCATGTTCCTGAGCCGGATTTGTTCTATCATGATGAAGGCTACTATATCATTAGATTCCAAACTGTTGCAGATGCTCGAGAAATATTATGTGTTGGGCCTTACTCAATTGCTAATAAGCCTATCATCCTAAAACCATGGACTCCTGATTTTGATTTCACGGAAGAATTCCCTACTGTGGGTAAAATTTCCTAAGTTGCCTATGTCGTGCTGGGGAGTTGGCTCTCTTAGCAGAATTGCTAGTGTAATTGGGACCCCTGTTTTTGCTGATGAGTGTACTACTAAGGAGACTCGAGTATCCTTTGCTCGAATGCTTATTGAAGTTAATGTTACAACAGAATTACTAACTGAAATTGCGGTTATGGATCCTTCTAGAAAGCAATTTCCGCAAGCTGTCACCTATGACTGGAAACCTGCTTATTGTGATAAATGTTTGGTTGTAGGACACAAGTGCACCAACCAGCCACGACCTGTGATGCAGCAGCCCAACTAGACAAGGAGAACAAGGAGTAACAAGGTTGTCACACAGGAATGGAGAACTAAAGGACCTATACAGAATGCAGCACGTCCTCAGAATACTTCATCTGAGGAACAACAGCAAGTTGGCAACAAAGTGGAAGTTGTAGATCAAAGAGGAACAACAAAGGCACCTGATCCTGTGAAGACTAATAACATCATACCTGTAGCTGAGAAACAGGATGATAGAGGGAAAGCAGTGCAAAGTCCTGAACTTAATTTCATCAACTTCCCACCTTTGACTCCCATCCCAGTGAAGAATAGGTTTGAAGCTGTATCAACAAGTAGACATGGGGAGCACATTCCACCTGGGGATAGAGGTGGAACTATCATTCAACAATGATGAATTGGTTGTTCTGGAACATAAGGGGTGTAAATAAAAGGTATAAACAGAAGGAGGTTAGAGAGTATATTAGGGGAAATAGAATCAAGCTAGTAGGACTTGTAGAAACTAAAGTGAAGGAAGGGAATGCTCAAAGAATCTCAAAAGCTATTGTTCCTGGATGGAGTATACTGACAAACTATAAAGATGCTAGGAATGGAAGGATTTGGATACTATGGGATACCAGTCACTTGATTATTACTGGTATTAAAGATGATGCTCAAATGATACACTGTCAGGTAAAAAGTAGAAGAGGAGATATAGATTGTTTCTCACTATAGTCTATGGATACAATGGGCTGGAACAAAGAAGATCCTTATGGGATAACTTACAACTACTATCACTGAGTATAGCAATACCATGGTTGATAGCTGGAGATTTCAATGCAGTACTATACCACAATGATAGATTGTCTTGTAATCTAGTAAGCTACTCAGAAATTCAAGACTTTGTTGCCTGCCTTCAACATACTACATTGACAGAACTACCTTGGAAGGGTGATTATTATACATGATCTAATAAGCAGCCTGGAATGGATAGAGACAGCAGTAGATTGGACAGAGTTTTTGGCAATTATGAATGGATGATGTCCTGGGGTCATGTGGAAACAACTTATGGACTGCCTCAAATTTCAGACCATGCTCATATGCTATTAACACTGTCATCTTCAACATGGACTGGTAGAGTGCCTTTCAGATTTTTTAACATATGGGTAGCACATGAAGATTTTTCCCAAATAGTTGCTAGCATGTGAAATTCTCATGATACACAGGGTACTTTGAAATCAGTTTGGACAAGATTGAAAGACCTGAAACCTGCATTGAAAGCTTTAAACTCTAAGGAATTCAGGGGCATCACTCAGAAAATTGAGAAGGCTAGAATAGATCTGAGGGTTATCCAAGAGAAGATTTCACTAAATTACAATGATGCTTTATTAGATATGGAGAAGGAAATACTACTCAACCTTGAGAAGTGGTCATTAATTGAAGAGAGTGACCTGCAGCAGAAAGCTAGAGCAAGATGGATACAACTTGGAGATTCAAACTCTAAGTACTTCACAGCAGTAATGAAGGATAGAACTCAAAAGAAGCAAATTACAGAAATCACTACTCGACTAGGAGACAAGTTGACTGACCCTGATGCAATCAAAAGGGAGATTGTTGATTTCTATAAAAGCCTAATGGGGTCACTTGCCACCTCTTTGCCTGCTATCAACAGATTATACATGAAGAATGGTCCTACACTGTCTCATCAGCAAAGAGTTGATCTATGTGCAGAGGTAACTAATCAAGAGATTGTTGAGAGTCTTAAAGCAATTAGTGATGATAAAGCTCCAGGTATTGATGGCTTTAATGCAGTTGTCTTCAAAAAAGCATGGGACATTATCAACACTCAAATCACAGATGCTATAAAGGAGTTCTTCTCAACTGGAAAGATCTATAAGGCCATCAACTGCACCACTGTTACATTAGTTCCTAAAGTGACTAAGCCTACCACAGTCAAAGAATATAGACCAATAGCCTGCTGTTCAATCTTATACAAGATAATCTCTAAGATCTTGGCTTCTAGATTGCAGAAAGTCATGCCATTCATCATTTGTGAAGCTCAAGCAGGTTTCATTCCTAGTAGAAAGATTGCTGACAATGTCATCCTAACTTATGAGCTAGTCAAATCCTACACTAGAGCTCAGATATCTCCTAGGTGTATGATAAAGATTGATCTCCAAAAAGCTTATGACTCAGTAGAATGGATCTTCCTACAACAGGTGATGGAGGAGCTTGGTTTTTCTGATAGGTTTATCAAGTGAATAATAGAATGCATCAAGACAGTCAACTATACTATCCTTGTGAATGGAGAAACCACAGAACCTTTCAATGCTGCTAAGGGTCTTAGACAAGGAGATCCTATTTCTCCTTTCCTATTTGCAATGATGATGAAGTACTTGAGCAGATCCCTACATGAGCTTAAGAAGGAACCTACATTCCAGTATCACCCCGGATGTAGGAAACTGGACATAACTCATATGAGTTTTGCTGATGATCTCTTGTTATTTGCTAAAGGTAATCTATCCTCAGTGGTCACATTATACAAATACTTCTCTTAGTTCTCTGCAGCATCAGGTTTGCAGGTTAATCTGGGTAAAAGTTCAGTGTATTTTGGTGGGGTGAAACAAGATGTGAAGGAGCAGATATTGGCTCACCTGGGGTTTGAAAAAGGATCCTTGCCCTTCAAATACCTAGGCATCCCTTTATCTACAAAGAAAATAACTTTCATACAATGGCAGACTTTGATTGAAAAGATCACAGCCAAGATCTCTTCCTGGACTGCTAAACAGCTATCCTATGTTGGTCGTGTGCAGTTGTTTCAATCTGTTATTTTTGGTATTCAAGCTTACTGGGCTCAATTGTTCATCTTGCATGCTAAGGTATTGAAAATGATAGAGGCACTCTGTAGAAGCTACATTTAGTCTGGAACTAACACAATAACCAGGAAGGCATTAGTAGCATGGGAAAAGATGTGTTCTCCTAAGTCAGCTGGTGGACTTAATCTCATAAACCTTCCTCTGTGGAACAAAGCAGCAATTGCCAAAACGTGCTGGGACTTAGCACACAAACAGGACAAGCTATGGATAAGGTGGATCAATGCATACTATATCAAACAACATCATCTACAACATATGCCATTGCCGCAACAAGCAAGTTGGATGGTGAGAAGAATAATTGGATCAAGAGTAACCATGCTATAGACACAGAACTTAAATGATCACAGCAAGAGCATTATCAGACAAATATACCTACAGCTGTTAGGAAACTTACCAAGAGTTAGCTGGAAATGCCTAGTCTTTCACAACTCTGCCAGACCAAAGGCAGTCTTCACCATGTGGCTGTTGCTCCATGGAAGACTACCTACTAAAGATAGGCTAGCCAACTGAGGTTTAAATGTCAGCCCGCAGTGTGTTATGTGTCAAGGTCAGGATGAATCAAGGGAGCACCTCTTTGTGCAATGTCCGTATACTATAGAACTGTGGAAGAAAGTCATGAAATGGATTCAAAATGTACAAATGATCACCTCCTGTTGGGACCAACACCTTCAGTGGATCATCAAGCAAGGAAAAGGGAAGTCCAATAAGGCTAGCATCTTCAGAATGATATATGCTGAGACCTCATATGCAATTTGGATAGAAAGAAACACTCGTATATTTGACCAAAGGTATCGAGGTAGTGATGTTCTTGCAAGGGAGATAGCATACATTTGCAATGTTAGAGCAGCTATTCGAGCTAAGAGTTATATACATCAATTTTATCTAGGAACAAAGTGATTCATTAATGATATGTGTAAATACGTATGCTAGTTTTGCTTTTAAATTTTGAGATAGTCAGTTGAGTTAGCTTGACTATGGATTTGTACAGTTCTTCTTTGGTGATTAATACAAAAGAAGGTTAATTAAAAAAAAAAAATGTTACTCAGAAGCAGAAAAATACTATTCTGTTTCCATTTAGCAATATCTCCTTTGTTTTAGCTTCATCAACCTCTGACAGGATTTTGCTTAAGAATTGACCCTCCAAAATATAGCACCTTATTATGATAAAAATGATTGCTGACGGCACAACAGCTCTCCATCAAAATTTATTAGATCTCTAGATTTGATTTTAGTGCTTCAGCGAGTGATTTTGAAGGGGAGCCTTGAGCAACAATGATAAAGTTGTCTCCATGTGATCTATAGGTCGTGGGTTCGAGCCATGGAAGCAGCCACTAACGCTTGCGTTAGGGTAGGCTGTCTACATCACACCCCTTGGGGTGCGACCCTTCGCCGGACTCTGCATGAATGCGGGATGCTTTGTACACCGGGCTGCCCTTTTTTTAGTGAGCGATTTAGGAAAAGAAGGATGAGTGCTTGAATTACTAAAACCACTACAGGAATAAAGTACACAGAATGATATCTCCATGTGACAACATACCAGGAACAATTTGACAAGGCAATAGCAACTGCACTTAGAAGCTTGCTGGCCTCTGGTCCATCAAGAACCACTCCACTGGCACTTTGAGGAGCAATCACCTAAGATGAGCACTCAGAATTGAGAGATAGTAAAGCAATATAACCTAGATCAAGGTACTAAATATACAAGAAACAGGTCATCCTTCTGTGTGGACACGAGTGAGGGGAGAGAGATAGAGATACCAGGAACTCATTCACCCCAAAAGACAGTTGCAGATCATGCAATGCACAACTCCAGTCATTTCCTTTTCCTCGACCAACTAAATCAAGGAGACACATAAGTCAAAAAAATGAGAACACTAGCTCTCAGCTGGATTTTTACAGCAGAAAATTTTCATACCATCATTATGTGTTCCAAAATAGTACTCCATGCAATAGCTTTTCATCGCATACTTCAGGTCAGTTTTGACCTTATATAGGTCCTCAGAGATATTCACACTGATAGCACCATTTTTCTGTCATTAAAATAATATGCAAAATACACAAAAAAGAAATCCATGAACAACATCAAAATACCTGTTGGTCATTCTTCAAAGTATAATTCAATTTAGTATTTTCTCAAGAAACTACTTGCTGAAAAACTGAATAAAACCTCTATCAAGTATTATACAAGTCAAAGCATCACGACAAGACTAAGTCCCATGTCATTTGGATTGAACAGGAAATTGATATATGCCAGCATCTGGACAATATCATAAACATTTCAAAGAGATGATAAATCATACCAACAAATTCTTGGTGCCATCAGCCAACCACTGCCTGCAAACTGCCTCTATCTCAGATATGAACCTACAAATTTAGTAACTTCAGATTCAATGCTCCTTTGAGGACACAATAACCAAATGCAGTAAATTGTTATGGTTAATTAAGTACCTTTCCCATGAAGAGGCCAGGGTAAAATCATCAAAATGTTCAATCTGCAACAAATAATACAAACAATTTGAGAACCAGGTCAACTAGCTAAGTTTGCTTGCCTTCAAAAATTACAACACTGAAACCCCAATGTCTAAGATATTCTAAAGTTTTTCCACTAGGGATTTACAAGTTCCCTCCTTTTTGTTGCAACGCACCAGTTTACTTTCCTATGATACAATCCGAACTAGAGAGTATAACTGTAATCTGTTTCAAATTAAGGATCCACCTCTTATACAACCGCCAATCACGAAGAAATTCCGACTTCTATAGATGATTTGTAAGAGCATTGTATAGTTTTGCCAGAACTATTCCAACTTGGAGTAAGATTAATAATTACATTAAATTTATCACCGAAAAATAATCATAAAAACAAATTTAAACAGACGTAAGAATATACCTCCTCTTCTAGATCCTCATCCTTTGCAGAGCTTGGTATTTTGCTAATTGATGCCATTAATTTTCGCCGAAATCAAATTGCAGTTAGCAATTTGTTTAAATACAGGACAATTTCAAAGATAATGTCTCCAATTATGTTGATAACTACTACTACAACATTTTCTTACTGACTAATTCTATCTCTATCCTCGCTAATGAAGGCTCAGACTGTACGGTGAAGCGTATTTGACCAAAATGTTAATGCGATCTCACTGATATAAGACCAAAAAGCAGAATAATTCAATGTTCCAGTAATAACGATATTCTTTGCTTTGCTTGCAAATGACTTAAAAATAACTGCTCTTAAAAATTTTAATCTGAGCCAATGGTAAAAGCAACAAAGAGATTAATTTTTAACGAAAAGAATATATATATATANAATAGTTTTTTTAAAAGTTAATTCTTGAATAAGGTAAGGAAGATATCTGCTTTATAAAAGTCCTCATATACTTTTTTATTTGAAATTTTATTAGGAATAGCTTTAGGTTCTCGCACCATCTTTTATAAGCAGATATGATTATTATCAAAATAAAGAGATTATGTTGAGTAACGCTTTTACTTCCTTTAGCTCAATTATGATGGATAATATTAGTCACGCATTTTTCTAGCTTGATATTTATTTTCAATTACATGCTATAGCTATCACCCATATAAATTTATCGATACCAGAACTACAAAACTTTACGATAATATTTTTGATAAAATATTTTCTTAAAAAGGAAGCTATTAATATTTTTTACATTAGCTAGCAACCTAAATAACAAATATGCTCCGGCACAGTGATTAACACCATAGCTTATAATTGAGACACATGATTCTTAGTTAATGCTAGATAAAAGAGTATATTTTCCCATGATTAGTCCAAAAGGAGTAAATAAGGCAACTACTAATGTAATAACCCGATTTTTTTTTTTTTTGTATGCTTATTAATTGTGAGATTGAAGAATTAATTTTATTTATAATTATTGGAGCAATTACTAAGATAGTGAAATAGACAATAGTATATTAGATAAGTGACTAGTGCACAAATTACATATTATAATTTAAAGTATGAAAAGTGTGACTTTAGTGAGTATTTAAAAAGTTAATGAGTGGGTCAAGCCCACCACTTACTAGCTGGTCACACGAGATGACCTAGGTTTAAAGATTATATAGTTTAGTAGGAAAAGAAGTAATTGAGGTTTTAGTTTTAAAAAAAAAACGAATTAAAGAGGGCTTCGGGATAGGGAATATGCTGGCGACGTGAATAAGGGATAGAGGGGCATCGAAGTCTTCTTTGATAATCACTGGTAACAGATTAATTTTAGAGCAAAAGAGTTGGTGTGCTAACTCGTTAACGGACGAGGCTAAGGGAAAAGCTTCAGGTATATTAAATCTTCATATGCCTTATGATTGTGGTATGTCAACTACTGAAGTTAGCAGTATGTGCTATAAGAATTAATTACTTTGCCATGATTTAGTAAATATAGTAATTAAGATGAGGAGCAATGATTATCATATGATTGGCTTTTAGTATTAGACTTGTAAAATTGCAATTCTAATGTGATAGCTACTGCTGAGAACCCTTATTAACGTTGATTACACCAATTGTTGTGAATTTTTATTCTTAATTAAAGAAAGATTTTGACTGGAAGCACTCTATGGCTTTTACAAGTGAAATCCGAGTACTAATTCATAGAATTGAGAGTAAATATAGAGTTTAGATTGAAGGTATTGCTTTATAAGAATTTGTGTTGAGATTGAGATATTGGGATATATCTTTTTATTTAGGTATAAGATATTAAGATTTAGCTTAAAGCTTGAAAGTTAGGGAGATTTAAATTTGATCTCGACTAGCATAATTAATTTTGTTAATTAATATTTTGGATAGATTGAGGCCGTTTGGTTGGTGTTCTTGACGTTGCAAGGTTGGAGAACTTCCCGTTAGTAAGGTAAGTGAGACTTTAAACTTTGATACTTGCTTTTCTAAAATCAGTTTTAAAAATGTGTTTTCTCTGCCCGGTCCATGTGTTGGGACAAGCGTGCACTTGATAGAATCGGTGGTCTTGGACTAGTCGCAAATATATTATTTTATGAAAAAAAAATTATTTTATAAGTTGCTTGATGGCATGATACGGCTGTGAGCCATGATGTTGAGGTTGATAGTTTGATACGGCTGTGAGCCATGGTGTTGAGTTTGATACGGCTGTGCGCCGTGTTATTGAGTTTGATACGGCTGTGCGCCATGATATTGAGTTTGATACAGCTGTGCGCCATGATATTGAGTTTGATACGGTTGTGCGCCATGATATTGAGTTTGATAGTCTGATACGGGTGTGAGCCATGTTGTTGAGTTTGAGACGGCTGTGCGCCATGATATTGAGTTTGATAGTCTGATACGGGTGTGAGCCATGTTGTTGAGTTTGAGACGGCTGTGCGCCATGATGTTGAGTTTGATAGTTTGATACGACTGTGAGCCATGGTGTTGAGTTTGATACAGTTGTGCGCCATGATGTTGGGGCATTGTGTATGCCTTTCTACATCACTCTAGCATTGTTTATGCTTCTTGATATTTATATTTGGGGCACTGTGTATGCACTGTTACACATTTGAGGCATTGTGGTGCCGTTGTGGACTCGTAAAGGTATTGTTTAATTTCTTTCACTGCAGTCATGACAAGTCCTTAGTGTATATGTGTACTCTTGTTAGTTAATTCTTATTAACTCTGTCGATAAATATGTATTGAGTTATTGTATAATTATCGTATTTATTATATCGTTCTTGTTGTGGTGTATTTATATTTTCTAACACTTGTTCCAGAGGTATTCAAAGTGGCGGGTCGAGGATTTTACTGGGTTATATTTATGTATAACTCACTCCTTACCTGCATCTCTATGCGGATACTATTGCGGACAATAGAGCTAGTGGCTGAAGAGTTCGTTCGGACCGATTCTGTTGCTGAGGTGAGCCACCGCATTGTTTGTGGAGGCTGTCACTGCACCTTTATCCAGTTTATGTTAGTTATTTCCTTTTCTTTGGGGTTTGCATACCCGCCAGTTTAACTCATTCACTCTGTTAGATAATCCATGGTCTTAGTGTGGGTTTTGAGTTAGAGTATTATTATTTGAGTAACTGTTGGTCATTCTATCAATTGACTAAGGTATTGGTTGGTAACTATTTTATTTTTTTAAATTATTAATAATGCTCTTAGAACTGCATTTATTGTTCTCTCAGTGTTTGTGTAAATGGTTAAACGAATGAGAAATGGGTTCGCCTGGTAAGTGGTGTTAGCTGGGTATCAGTCACGTCTAGGGGGTAGTTTGGGACGTGACAACTAAATTTTTTAATTTACACATTAGTTGCCTCCTTTTTGTGATCTTGAAATAAAAAATCTATTATTTTGATCAAACTAATTTAATGTACTTTGTAAATATTTTTAAATATATAATAATTTCTATTGTATAGTGTCTGAATATTTCAACTTCGTTTTTAAAAATAACATGTACTTCACTTGAATATGATCATATTGACTAACTCATACGTATAATAAGACACTTTTAGGCAGAGAGAATGTATTCAAATTGTTAAAATGTCAGGTCATTTTAGATCAATTTCTTTGATCTATCTGTTTCAATTACTTAGCATGCTATATTTTTTTTATATTTTTATCTCTTTTTAAATCTTCTACAAAAAGATTAACCAAATGCTCCCAATCCAATAAAAAATATTGACAAATTAACATGATATCAAACTTACAATTTTAAAGCTAACCCAAGTCTTAGATCTTCAAAATTTTAGCAATCCGACAATATCTTGATTATTGTTTTTGATAAAATAATAGTTACTAAAATAAATTCTCGTAAAAATTTACTTATTTAACTAATATAAGTAAAATCTTACTAGGATTAAATTATTCCTAAATGTTATGTGTAACGACCCAACCGGTTGTTTTGACTGTTAGAACCACGTTCCCCTAAATAAGACTCTCCGTATGTGCTTTTATTAATTTATGACTTGCGGGGATGGTTGGTTCGGAATTTGGAAGTGATCGGGTTGAAATCGGAACAATTGGTTCCTTAGTTTGGCTTTAAAAGGGCAAGTTTGACTTCGGTCAATATTTTTAGAAAACGACCCCAAAATCGGAATTTGATGGTTCCAATAGATTCGTATGATGATTTTGGACTTGGGCGTATGTTCTAATCGAGTTTTTGACAACCCGGGAGCGATTTGGCGATTAATAGTAAAAATTAACTATTTAAAGGTTTAATGTTCTTTAAATTTGATTTGGAGTAGGTTTTGGAGTAATCGAGGTCCGTTTGAAATTTTGAGCCTAGGAATAGCTCCGTATTGTGATTCTGGTCTTAGGAGCACGTCCGGATATTAATTTGGAGGTCCGTAGGTCATTTTAGAGTAGTTAAAAATTTGAAGGTTTTTAAGAAGTTTGACCGGGAGTGGACTTTTTTGATATCGGGTTCAGAATCCGATTTCGAAAGTTGGAGTAGGTCCGTAATGTCAATTATGACCTGTGTGCAATATCTGAGGTCAATCAAACGTGATTTGATAGGTTTCGGCATTGATTGTAGAAATTTGAAATTTCAAAGTTCATTAAGTTTGAATCGGAGGGTGATTCGTATTTTTAGCGTTGTTTGATGTGATTTAAAGGCTCGAGTAAGTTTATATGATGTTTTAAGACTCGTCAGTATGTGTTGGATAGGGTCCCGGGGGCCTCGGGTGAGTTTCAGATGCTTAACAAATCGAATTTGGATTTGGAGGAGGAGCTGAAGCTGCTGTGCATCTGGTACGATAGCACCTGCGCGAAAAAGGGTCGCAGGTGCGAGCTCGCTGAAGCGAGGCATGAGTCGCAGAAGCGGAAATGCATGGGCTGGCTAGGTACCGCGGGTGCGAAGAATTTTACCGCGGTTGCGAAGACCGCGGGTGCGAAGAATTTTACCACGGGTGCGAAGAATTTTACCGCGGGTACGACGACCGTAGGTGCGAAGAAATCCATTGCAGGCGCGAGAGTTTTGCCGCGGGTGCGAAGAAATCATCGCGGGTGCGAAGATCGCTTGGCAATGAGTATTAAAATAGGAGTTTGAGCATTTTTGCTCATTTCTTCATTCTTGGACGATTTTTGGAGCTTTTTGAGAAGGGATTTCAACTAGCAACTTGAATGTAAGTTAATTCTACACACTTTGAGTTAAATACATAGATTATGGGTAGATTATAACGTATAAATTGTGGAAATCAAGGGTTTAGGTGAAAAACCTAGGTTTTGATTAAAAAAAAGAAGAAGAGATTTTAACCACGAAAATGATTATGGAATTGGATGAAAATTGTATATTTGAGTTCTTGAGATTATGGGTAAAGATTTTCTCCGAAAATTTCTGAAATCCGGGCACGTGGGCCCGGTGTGAATTTTAGGAATTTTTTCATTTTGGGTTGGGTAATTAATTTAATAGTTTAATTTCGAATCATTGAGAATGTATGAATTATTTTGTATAACATTTGGATAGTTTCGGATTTTTGGGCATCGAATTGAGAATTTAATGCGACGTGGTGATCGGGAAGTGAAATTTGAGACAAAGTAAGTCTCTTGTGAGGGGAAATTTACCCCATAGGTGATTAAATTAATAATTATTGCTAATTGTGGGGGGCTACGTACGCACGAGGTGACGAGAGTTCGTGCGTAGCTACTATTTATGCTAAAGTTCGGGTAGTTTAGGACTCAAATCATGAATTACTTGTGTAAATTGTATTCTTTATTTAATTAAATTATTTGAAATATATTGTGAATTGTTAGGGAAATATAGTAAAAGATGGAAATCTAATATACTTAATTTTTCCGTATAAATTATTTAATTGTTAAAAGAAATTATGCATGCTCTCGTATTAATCTATCAATAAATAAACTCTCATTCCGGAGGTACATAAGAAAATGTCCTCCTTTCTTGTGCAGCGGGCCGAATGCCTCGGCAGTATAGATGCATCTATGGATCGCGCCGCACGTTCCTCGACAGTGTACACGACACTCTGGATCAGGCCGTACTACCTTGGCAGAAATCATGCATAATAATAATAATAATTACACGATACTTTGCTATTTTAATTGCAGCTTGTGAATTTAATTAATTGATTGGAAATTATTGCATTTGAAGGAATTTAATTATTTCTGTTGGTTAAATAAAATTATTGTTAACTCTGTGAATCATGTTGATTTAAATATTTCTATTTTATGTTATTTATTATTATTGACCCTTAGTGAGTGTCAAAGTCGACCATCTCGTCTCTACCTCTTCAAGATTAGGCTTGATACTTACTGGGTACGCGTTGTTTACGTACTCATGCTACACTTACTGCACATTTTTGTGGAGGTACATAATAAGCATCTAGTAGATTATACAAAGATTCCAAATACTATTTGAAATAAAATAGACATAATGAAAATTTCAGGAAAAAACACTGGTTGCTACAGAATGGCTCAAAAGGGCAGCTCACCACTAAGCCTCTGGATATCGTGGGTGTGCGCCGATAAGTCCAACGATAGCACCTGTCTCAGGTCCTGCACAAAAAAGTGCAGCAAATGTAGCATGAGTACGTAAACAACGTGTACCCAGTAAGTATCAAACCTAATCTCGAAAAGGTAGAGACGAGATAACTGACTTTGACACTCACTAAGGGTCAATAGTAATAATTGAAATAAAACTAGAATATCTAAATCACATGATTCACAAAGTTAACAATAATTTTATTTAACCAGCAGAAATAATTAAATTCCTTCAAATGCAATAATTTTTAATCTATTAATTAAATTCACAAACTACAATTAAAATATCAAGGTATCATGTAATTATTATTATTAGGCACGATTTATGCCGAGGTCGTACGACCCGATCTAGAGTGTCGTGTACACTGCCGAGGGACGTGCGACACGATCCATAGATGCATCTATACTGCCGAGGCGTTCGGCCCGCTGCACAAGAAAGGAAGACATTTTTTTATGTACCTCCGGAAGGAGAGTATATTTATTATAGATTAATTCGAGAGGATGAACAATTTCTTTTAATAATTAACTAATTTAAGCAGAAAATTAAGTATATAAGATTTCCATCTTTTACTATCTTTCCCTAACAATTCACAATATATTTCAAATAATTTAATTAAATATAGGATACAATTTACACACATAATTCATGCTTTGAGTTCTAAACTACCTGGGCTTTAGCATAGATAGTAGCTACGTACGGACTCTCGTCACCTCGTGCGTACGTAGCCCCCACAATTAGCAACAATTATTAGTTTAATCACCTATGAGGTAATTTTTCCCTCACAAGATTAGACAAGAGGCTTACCTTGTCTCAAAGTCCGCTTTCCAGGCAAAATGTCGCGTAAAAACTTCAATTCGATGCCGAAAAATACGAAACTATCCAAAAGTTATATAAAATAATTAATACATGTTCAAAAATTCAAAATTCATCTATTAAATAAATTACCCTATCCAAATAGGTAAAATTCTTAAAATTTACCCTAGGCCCACGTGCCCGAATTCCGGAAATTTTTGGATGAAAACGTTACCCATAATCTCAAGAATTCAAATATATAATTTCTATCCAATTCCATAACCATTTTCGTGGCTAAAATCTCATTTTTATACAAATCTAGGTTTTTCATTTAAACCCTTAATTTCTAAGATTTACCGGTTATAATCTACCCATAATCTATGTATTTAACTCAAAGTATGTAGAATTAACTTACCTTCAAGTTGCTAGTTGAACTCCCCTCTCAAAAGCTCTGAAATCGCCCGAAAATGGAGGGAAAATGGGCTCAAAATGTCTGAGCCCTGATTTTTAACCATTCTGTCAAGCAGTGGTTTCACACCTGCGGAAGGTGTACCGCACCTGCGGAAGGTGTACCACACCTGTGGCTTCCGCACCTGCGGAAAAGCCTCGCAGGTGCGAGTTTTCCCTCGCCTGCCAAGCCTCGCATATGCGCACATTTCTCGCACCTGCGCATTCGTAGGTGCGCCCAAAATTCCGCACCTGCGATGGCAGGCCTCCCCTTCCCCTTCCGCTTATGCGATTGAAGCTCGCATCTGCGAGGGTCGCACCTGCGGCTATACAAGCGCAAGTGCGAATGTACCAGAAGCAAAAAGCTTCAACATTTTTCTCCCAAGTTCGAAGTTGGTCTGAGCCTCG